CGGGTCAGCTCTGCTTCCAAGTTGACCGGCTCAATACCATAGAAGATGTACAATTAAATAGTAATAATAATGATTTTTAAAAAACCCAAACAACCCAGCCTTCACCATATTTGAACGCCAGAAGTTTCCTAAATTGCCAGCAGGTTTGCACGAGGTGTCTGCCGAATAGCAGGTACCCAAGAGCACCATCCCTGTCGTCGGGGATATAAACAGTTCAGCCAATGGAAAAAATCCTCAAATTTGTATTTTGAGGTTTTTTCCCCCATCTGGCTGTCTTCGCACGTCCCAGGAGCTCCTTCCAGCACCCAGCTCCCAGGGCAGGGGGGCTGGGATGCCAGAGCTGCCGCCTCCTCCCCTCCCCGGTGCCGATAATGCCAGGAATCACGCCCATCACCAATCTCACATTTTCCAAGCAGGGGGAATTTAAAGCTGGTAGGCTTTAAAGCTTTTTTTTTTTTTCTTTCTCTCTCTCCATATCACTGGCATAGGCACTTAGTGTATCACTGACGTACAGATTTTATGTCCAGTTACATCTCGTGGCCAAATAGTGTCATGTTCTCAGACTGATTTAAATAGCAAAAGGCCAAGAGGGTCTCCAATATCCTTCCTAAACACAATGATTTCTCTCATTTAAAAAACCAAAAGCCTTCAAGTTTTTCAGCTTTGTTTTCAGGCATTATTTTTTCTTCCCTCTAAAACCATACTCAAAGGATAAATAACCCAATAACCTTCATATCCATCTATTTTACTTGATTTACTCGATTTATCTATAGATAAGAAAACCAGTATAAACAGTCTGACCCACTAGATTTTGAGGCTGCAACACCCTCGACGTTGGGGAGTCCTAAGGAACAATTGCTGAGGAGAATGAGCATGAGCAGAGTGTTGCTGTTGTTGGCTTTGCTCTCCCAAAGCCCCCCCAGGGCTGCAAAGGTCCTTCTTGTCACCCCCTCACCACCGCTGCTAACGGTTCCTCTGCATATTCAGGCACCATAATTGATCGGGAAAGACTTCATGGCCAAATCCTTAGGAAATTAAATAAATTATAAAATAATTTATGAAAAGGGTTTTGGATTGGTTTTGTTTGTTTGTTTAGAGCTAGTTCATGTTATTTCTTGAATAGCTGAAGGTTTTGCTCATTTTGCGGTCCATAGCAATATTACGGAGATCAGACACCACCATCACATCTACTAGAGGGCTGATAGAAACCAAAGGACGTTGCACAAACGCTTCCCCCGTCCCTCCCCTCCCACCTGCTTGCATTGAGCTCTTTTAGAAATGTGAAGTGAAAACCAAACAGCCAACATTTTTCAGACTCAGAATAACCAGGGTCATCTTTAGGATGGGCGCTGCTGAAGACCTTATTGCCCTTCCAGGTCATTGATAAACCACAGTGCTATTCATGTACTACAGGTAGAAAATAAATAAATACAGATATATTATGCAAAAAAATATGATTGTACACATAATACATCTGAGGTATTACCAATTTAAATAAGATTTCATGCTAGTTCAAGCTTCGGTGGCTAAATTCTGGAATTTGCAATAAATAGATGAAGAATGATTATGTATATAGTGTATGGATCTCTTCTGTAAACCTTGTCCGATTTAAACGTAAGAGCGTGTTGGGCTAACTCTTGCGCAAACCACAAATTTTCACAATAAATACAGCTTCAAAAAGTTGTCTTAAAAAGTTCCTGCGACACTGAAACTTTTCTAGAAGGGGCTGTGTGTACGACTGGCAACGTCAGCGAGGAGTATTTCTCAACAGGTCTTTTCATACAAAACACAAGGAAATTCATACGTGAAAGTCTTTTTCCCCTCCCTCCCCACCCCACCCCATCATGAAAGTTTAGAAATTTTTGCACAAACAGCAAGAGAACTGATTGTAGCTGCAGTATGTCAAAACGTCCACGTTCTATAAAGACCAAAAATAGTTTGTTTGCTTAGAAAGTATTTTTTTGTTGTTTTTTTCATCCTTATTTCTGAGTAGCGCATCATCCTTTCGGTGATAGTTTGCCTGTCCCACTGTTACTCTGTTTTCTTTTCAGCGACGGTCCTTGCCGCCCAAGCCATACAGGCATTTCACACTTTCACCGTCTCCATCAGCGATGACTTGATGGCATCCTCCAAAAGTTGATTGTCTGTGAAAGGGGCTGGGGTTTCAGGGACGGATTCGGACAAACCAATGAGGGACTCCAAGAAACAGGAGCCCTGATCTCCAGCTTGCGGGAAGCCAGGGAAATTAGGCAACTGAAACTGTAACGCTGAGAAGTTATCAAGGTTCTCGTACTCCTTTAAGGAGTTGTAAAGGGGTCCCAAGTTATAGTCCGAGAAGGACTGGAAGAAATCCAAGGAGTCAGAGGAAAGGCTGAGGTCAGCGTAGCTCTTGGAGCAGGGCTCAGCGGGGGAGGAGGCGCAGCAGGACAGCCCATCGCACCGCGTATGGGCAGCATCCTCCAGCAAACCCCCGCTGTCCTGGTTGGCGTTCTCGTCCAGGCACTCGGAGAGGTGGGACAAGTGGCCAGGGACAGGCTTGGCCTCGCTGCCGTGGTCCTCGATGAAGAAGTCAGCGGGGTGGAAGCAGCTCAGGTCATCCTGCCCACGGCCACCCTCCTCCTCAGCATCCGAGTCGTTGAAGTGGAGGATGCGTGCCAAGCCATCGTCGTCCACATCCGACTGGGATTTGTCAGAGGGGAGGCTCTCGTAGGGCTCCTCCAGGTCCTCGCTGGGGTGGGAGGAGATGGAGGAGTCTGTCATGTCGCTGCTGCAGCTGTTCTCCCCCAGGGCCTCCAAGTCGGGACTGAACTGGAAGGCGGGTGCCAGCGGCACCGCACGCTCCTCCAAGGAGCCCTTCCCTGCCGTGCATCCCAACTGCGGGAGCCGCTCCCGAAAAGGGGGCTCAGCCTCTGCCACCTTCTCGCTGTTCTGCTGCTGCTTCTCCAGTTCCAGCTTCATGATGGTGTGGATGAAGTGGGTCTGCACGCGGGCCTGGTTGAACTCGATCCTACCCTCGGTGTTGCCGCAGCCATCCTTGGTGCAGCCGCAGGGGAAGGAGGTGTGATCCATCTGGCACAGGGAGAAGCAGAGGCGGAGGGTTAGGACCGAACCCAGCAGTGCAAAGTTGAAACCACCTGCGACTCACCCACCCTGAGAAATCAAGCAACAGCTGAGGAGCTTAAAGCAGACTGAAAAAAAATAATAATAAGAGACACCCCGCTCTTTTGATCGGTCGTCATAAAATAGTAGGATTTCAGTACAACCGAAGAAAGTTAAAAGGTTCCAAAAAAAGCAAAATATAATGCTCCAAAAGGAGACATAAGGGGGCAAACAGGAGTTTTTATATATTGCATCACGATAGTTAATACCTGATCCGTATCACCAGTTTCTGCTCCTTGCCAAGATAAGGACAAATTGCTCAACAGGCATCTGCGGCACCTTTATGCTCCCGTTAGCAGCAGCTGCTAGAAGGGGGCTGTGACACGCACATGGAGCACCCGTCCGCCTGTATGCACCCATCTGCCTGTGCACACCCACCCTACACCCCCCCCAGCCTGCAACCACGGCATCGAGGGAGTGAGTGGCACCCAGAATAGGGAATACGGCTCCCCAAACACAGGCAGGCACCCATAAAAAATAAAATTAAAAGTATAATAAGCTAATTGAATACAGAGGGATTATCCCACTTTGCAGGTGGTCTGCACAGCTAGCTGTGGGCTGACATTCCCCTGGTAACTCCCACGTTTGCCTGAGCACGCTGGGAGTTGTGACACACACCAAGGGAAAATAAAACTAAAAATAAAACTAGGGGGAGGAGGAGAAATCGCAGCCTTGCATGAGGAGCAAGAAGCTTTCGTTTATGAAGACATTCCCACACGGCCCATCTCCAACAGGAGACCAAGCAGGTATGTGGGGATGGACGGGGTGGGTGCATTCACGCTGCAGGCTCGGGCACATCCCCACGGCTGCAGCGGCAGCACGGGGCAGCTGCAGGTGTGATTTAGGAAGTGGATGCTTTCAAACAGTGTCTGCCTTGCAGCCTGGGAGCATCTCCGAGAGCTTTTCTCGTCTGCTTCGCTCCAAGCACAGATGGGAACAGATGTATTTTACAGGCTGCCCTAACTCTGTCCTGCTTGCTCAAAACCCCCCTGCTTTAATGTACACATCAGCTGGAGCCACAGCTTTTCCCCCGTGCCCAGAGGCGAGGGCAGTACCTGACATTTAATGCCGGCCAAGCTGCAGCTGCAGGACCCCTGGTCG